TTGTGATTTTTCATTGTTTAAATGTCTGTTTGCACTTCTACTTTTCCCAGAATAAATACATTTTTGCATACTTATTTTAGAAAAAAACACCAACCTTTTGTCTGCCAATTTTAGGTAAAATGAGTACCTGAACTTCCAGGATCTAGTGCTGACTAATTGAAATTCATCACCACTAGATGTAAGCACGAATGTTTGTTTGCTCAAGAGGGACTTTGGATTTCGATTTATCCTCTTGCCTCTGCACCTGCTCATGTAACACGGTCATTGTTCCAGCTCACATTTGTTTATTAGTATGAGGATACAAGTCTGATTTTTTAAGAATAAATTCATACGAAATTCATTTATTTTTTATTTCAGTTATTTTCCCTGTGTACCTATTTTTCAATCATAAGTGCTTGTACAAGTGAATTACCTCAATTAAAGTTTATTTTCATCATTGTATATTAACTTTTGTCATAGGTAGTTTCCTTCAAAGTAACACAATTTTAACTAATAGATTTCAGTGAAGATGGGTGATGATATAAAGCCAGATGTCATAAAAAAGACACAAGAGTCCTTAGGAAAATATATCAAGAAACCCCCATTAACAGAAAAGTTGCTGAAGAAGCCCCCTTTTCGTTTTCTCCATGATATCATAACCAATGTAAGTACATTTTATTATTTTTTTTAGTATAGAGAAAGCATTGTAATTCTGCAAAAAATGTCTTGTAATTTTGAAGCAAGTACACACATTTTTATAATTCCCTTGTAAAAAAGTCCCAAAAAGTTTGTCTGACATGATGTCAGTCTTTATAAAAAAACATTTATTTGCTAGGTTTTTTTCTAAAATGGATTTTCAGCTACTGACTCATTTTGAGGTGCTGTGAATTTGATGGGAAAAGTTTAATTCTTGGTGCCTTAGAAACTTACATTGCATTTTCAACATTTTCTCTGTAATTGCTTGAAAGCAATTAAATGCATAGAGCTTGGTAATTACTTCATTATTTTGTTTAAGTGACATTTTAATTTTTTTGTGTACAATAATTCCAAATGCTAAATTATTGTAACCTTTCATTTGTAAATTAAGGGTGTTTTTATGATTTATTGAATTGATAAAAACGCTTTGCCTACACCTGTGCTGTTTTTTTGAAAATTTCAACACTTGAGCCAGAAATGGCTCTGAACAAAATTGTTCAAAGAAAATGTTCATGAAAACACGTAGAGAATATTGAAACTTCCATTATTATTAAAATATTAGTTTATAAAATTAAGATAAAAAGAATATTGCGCTGTGGCAAATTTTGTCTAATAAACTTTGAGATTTTGAATAGTTGAATCAAAATAAGCACTCGAAAGTTGATGTGAAAAAATAGTTTCTATTGCAAAAATTTACATTTCAGAAACATATTAACACTCCACAGACATTTAAATGGTTTATTATTTACAAAAGAAATGAGTATCTTTCTTCACAAAGAAAAAATAGCACAAATATAAAAGCTCATTTACACAATTCCTTTAAGTTTCTCGTCCTAGGAAGGTACTTCTTTAGAAGAGAAAGGTATGTAAGAGAAATGTGAATTTTCGGCAGAAAATCTCTTATTACCGGGCCCTGGCAAAATAGTGGTTAAATCCACTTACTAAATTTAGGGGGGGTGGATTCCCTAACTCGTGGTGTAGCCACAATCCCTGTTTTGTGGCGACTTGACACCGAAAAATGCATTGACGGCAAGACGTCTATCCGCCCGTCTGAATAATGCTAACGGTTGAACCGTTCAGCCGATTTTTTTCCAAAATTGATAATACCCAATTCATGGCTATTCGCATTCCCTTTAATTTGATTCTGATATTTTAGTTTTAGGGGTTCTTTTCAGGAAGCCTGCGGAACATTTTCAAAAAAATGCTTCGTTTTTTGATTAAATTTTGTTTTTGGATAGTGAAAAGAACATTTAAGAGAATGGTGTAGGTCTCATTTTCATTGAAAACTAATTTTTCGAAAATTACAAAAATTCAAATTTTTTTCGGCGTCTTCCTACAACCAATTATGAAGAGTTTTTCCCTTAATAAATTCTGTTTCTTAAAGATAGATTTTGAAAAAAAGTCATGTACAATTTTTCGAAAACGTAAAATGAATGGCAATGCTATGCAGTTGGATGCTGCGTAAGTTAGAATTTATATATTATTTCTTAAGTCTTTGTTCGTTTCTTATATTCAAACCTTTGTTATACGTTTCAAAACTAATCATTGAGAAATTTAAAACCTGTTTTAAATTGTGCCCTTTAATCGGGTTAAATGTGAAAACTAAAAGATGATTTCACTTTGCTGAATACGATGTGTGAATTAAGAGTAATTCATGTAAAAACCGAGTAATTTTGAGGTATATAAAAATATATTTAATTATTATATCTTTCTATCCATTTTCATTTTCTTGTTAGCTATATCAACAATGCTAATTGGCAAAATGTGGTTGTTTGCGGAAGTGCCTGTCCCTTTTTTTTAGGAACTCTTCACTCTGGGAAATTTTAGTTGGTTAGTAATTTTATGTTTGAGACTCCTCTCCCCGTATCCTCGAGGGGGATCGGGAATCTGGGTGAGTGAGAGAAAGGTTATATTGTTGAGGTAAGATGGAATATTTTGTTTGGGTGATTGGACAATGAGGGGGCTGGGAAGGATTGGGATGGTATATGGGAAGAGAAGGGGAATTTTTATTTCGGTGTGACCTTTGTTTTGGTCAGTCATTGTTGCGTACTAGCCATTTAGTCCTTTTTTAGATTGCCCTCTGGTCTAAGAAATGGATCGGGGAGGTTGAAGCATATCATGGGGATATTTGTCGGAGAGGGTTTCGAAGGACGTAGTGGTGGGCTAGGATGAAGTTTTGGAATTTGGGGTTATTAATGAATTATTGAATTTGGGTAACTGCGGAGGTAGGAAAGGATATGAGGTTTGTTGTGACTTTGGGGAGATCATTTTAGAAAAGTGGTGGGCCGTGCGTTTTTATAGTGGTGGGCGGAAGATGAATCTGAGGACTGTTTTCAGTGGTGGTTAGTTTTTTTGCGTTTTTTTTTGAAGTAGTGTACGAGGTGGGATGAGTATAAGAGAGGATTGGGCGGATGTAGATATTGTAGGTTTGGATTTTCTTGGGAATTGGAATTGAAGGATTTGTGAGGATGGGGTAGATGGCGTTGGTTAGTCTGTTGGTTTTGGTGATGGTGTTTAATATGTGATGGGTCCAAAGGAATCTGCGTGGAAGGTGATGTCCAGGTATTTTATGTGGGACTACCAGGGGATAAGGGTATAGTTTATTGTAAGGGGAAGTGGGTTTGTTGGATAGGTTTTGTGTGATAATAGGATGGCTTGGTATTTGGATCGGTTAATGGTAATTGGATTTTGGGAAGCTTAGAGGTAAGAGGAATTGAGGAAGGTTTGGAAGTTTGATAGGGATCGGAATAGTTTACGGTAGAACGCTTACGGTACATTCGCCTTCCCACACCGCCACCGCTGCACGCCATGGCCGCACCACCGCGGAAGGGGGTGTGTTCTGCAGGGGTAGGTTTCGCCGACCCTCCGGCGACGACGTACAAAGGGACCGCAGCAGGTAAAACGCCGCGACCGGCGGCGCAGTGGAAATACCATAATTTGAAGATATGTTCTGCTATGGGTGCCCTCCTGCGCTTCTCGTAGCGACGGTCCGGTGCCGAACGCCGCAGCGGCGTACCCGCACGAGGAAAGGTCTCCATTCAAACCAATGCTCTGCTACGAGCCGCGGAGTTCGGAAGCCCGCAGCGGTGGCTACGTGGGAAGGGGCCATTAGGTCACTAAGGATGAACACATTTCATTAAAAAAAAGTTTTCCTTCATAATTGTAGTTGTAGTAAGATATCGAAAATATTAGATTTTTTTAAATTTTCGAAAAATCATAGTTTTCAACGATTATGAGACCAGCGCCATTCTCTTAAACGCCATTCACACTAACCAATAAATAAATTTAATCAAAAACGTTAGAGCTATTTTTTAGAAATTTTGAAAATGTCCCAGGGTCTTCATGTAAAAAACACCCCTTCCAATTTAAAATATTGGTTTCAAATTCAAGGGCCCGCGACATCAGCTAGATTGATTGGACAGTATCAATTTTGGAGAAAATCGGTTGCACTGTTGAGCCGCTAGCGTTATTCGCAACCAGACAAAAGGAGAGACCCACAAAAAAATGGATTCTAGCTACACCACGTGCAGCATTTCATTCTCCGTTTGTTTACGACTTTTTCAAATGGTAGTTGAAGTGTAAGATGTTCATATTATACTAGTAAATAGTCATTGATATTATCGCAATAAAGTGCATGGTACTGTAGCACCATTAGTATATTTCTCTGTTAATTTTTCTTTCTGAGCATCATTAGTAGCGGAAGTGTACCATCATTGCCCCCAGAGATTGGATGTATAGGACAGAATTGATAATGGTGTTTACGTTTTAGGAATTGTAACGTAATGGAAGGGTCATGATAGTGCTACGCGTTATCATTAATAAAAACATATTTTTATTTCAATTTTGGCACATAATGATCGCGATGATCCCCGCTAGCGAGTGTTGCTACGGAACGGATTTTGTATGCTGCGCTCGCGCGCGAAGGTCTTAAGGCTAAATGTCCCGACACTAGTGCAATTTGTGGCCACCACGTGGCAGCACCAAAATAAGTAGAATTTACTTTACCGATAACGTCTGAACCA